CCCAGGGCATCATCTGCACCCTAATGCCCTCCCACCCTCAGAACGCTGACATTCTAGTTGGGCATGTTCGCGTGTGCCTGTAGTCCCAGCTACTCAGGAGGCTGAGGCAGGAGAATCGCCTTGGAACCCAGGAGGAGGAGGTTGCAGTGAGCTGAGATCGTGCCACTGCACTCCAGGCCTGGGCAACAGAACGAGACTCTGTCTCAAAAAAAAAAAAAAAAAAAAAAGGAACACTGCCATTCTACAGGGAGCAAGATAGGCACGAGCGCCACGGCTGGCTCCGTGCACCCCAGGCTGGAGCTCCCAGTCCAGAGAGTGCATCCAGGTGAACCCCCACCACTATAACCTGCCGTAACCCCCAAGGGAGCCAGCCCCTAACATCTCAGGTTGTGAAGAGAGGTTTGGGGTGGGGGTGGGGCACCTAAACTGAGACTTGTGGGTAAGCAAAAGGCACCCAGGTGAAGCCTGGAGGAGTGCCAGGTAGAGGGAACAGGGAGATTAACATGGAGGAGGCTCTGGAGGCAAGAGAAAGCTTAGAGCCCTTTAGAAACTGGGGAAAAGGTCAATGTGGTGGGAACAGGGTGCCTGAGATGCCAGCAGGGCCAGGCCATGGAGTTTTGCAGGTCAAGTGTGAGCTGCTTCCAGATGCCCTGGGAGCCGCTGTGAGACTCCAAGTAGCAGGGGACATGGGTCTGGCCTCCTCTGCCTGCAAGGGCTGGAGACCAAGGCAGGGTGGCCCAGCTTAGATGATGGCAGTTGGGGTAGGGAGGTGCGGTGGGCTGAAGGATGGGCCCCACCAAAACATAGGTGCATGTCCAGGAACCTGTGAAGGTGATCTTATTTGGAAAAGGGTCTTTGTAGCTGTAATTGAGAATTTTGAGTGCCCAGGTGCAGTGACTCACACCTGTTATCCCAGAATTTTGGGAGACCGAGGCAGAAAGATCACATAAGGCTAGGAGTTCAAGACCATCCTGGGCAACAAAGAGAGGGCCCATCTCTACAAAAAACTTAGAAACTAGCTCGAAGTGGTGGCAGGTGCCTGTAGTCCCAGCTACTCCGGAGGCTGAGGCAGGAGGTCCAGGCTGCAGTGAGCCATGATTGTACCACTGCATTCCAGTCTGGGTAACAGAGCTAGATTCTGTTTCAAAAAAAAATTAGCTGTGCGTGGTGGTGGGCATCTGTAATCCCAGCTACTTGGGAGGCTGAGGCAGTAGAATTGCTTGAACCTGGGAGACGAAGGTTGCAGTGAGCCGAGGTCACGCCATTGCACTCCAGTCTGGGAAACAAGAGCGAAACGCCGTCTTAAAAAAAAAAGAAACCATATACCCATTTGCAGTGATTCCCCATTCTCCCGCAGCCCCCACCGCCCCACCACCAGCTCCTGGCAACCACTTTCTGTCTCTGTAGATTTCCCTATTCTGGGTATTTCACGTAAGTGGAATCATACACCATGTGGCCTTTTGCGGCTGGCTGCTTTTACTGAGCATAGTGCTGTCAAGCCTCACCGATGTGGCAACATGTGTCGACGTTTCATTCCTTCCAAACAATATTCCATTGCGTGGATGGACCACATGTTGTCTGTCCAATTCATCTGTCGACACACATTTGGGTTGTTGCCACTTTTTGGTTCTTACAGATAATACTGCTGTGAACACTCAGGTGCATTTTTGTGTGTGACCCTATTTCCATTTCTCTTGGTTAGATACCTAAGGGTGGTGAATGTGGTTTTTAAAAATTTTTTATTAAAAACTTTTTTTTTTTTTTTTTTTTGAGACAGGGCCTCACTCTGTCGCTCAGGCTGGAGTGCAGTAGTGTGGATCTCAGGCTTACCGCAACCTCTGCCTCCCAAGTTCGGAGTGATTCTCCCTGCCTCAGCCTCCCAAGTAGCTGGATTACAGGCACGGGCCCCCACGCCTGGCTAATTGTTGTATTTTAGTAGAGACGGGGTTTCGCCATGTTGGCCAGGGTGGTCTCAAACTCCTGACCTCGGGTGATCGCGCGCCTCGCGCCAAAATGCTGGGATTACAGGTGTGAGCCCACCGCGCCGCAGCCAGTGAATGTTGTTTTTTAAATTAAAAATAACGAGGTTGCGTTTTTTAGTAGAATTTATTCCGTTTTTCATGTTTAAATATCTTTCAGGTTTTTATAAAGGACATGCAGAGCTCTCGGTTGGTGGTCCAATTGTGTAGTTTAGAGCCCAAAGGACGGATTAATTCAAAAGTGCTCATAGACACGCAAAGTGAAGCAAGAAAACATTTCTCACCTTTAAAATCTGTTCTGTTTGAATGTGTATGTGCAGCTTTATTGGCACATAATTCAAATATCATACAAGGCCAGGCATGGTGGCTTATGCCTGTAATGCCAGCACTTTGGGTGGCTAAGGTGGGAGGATCACTTGAGCCCAGAAGTTCAAGACCAGTCTGGGCAGCATCGGCAGACCTCATCTCTACAAAAAAAGTTTTTGTTTACGTTAGCCAGGTGTGGTGGTGCACACCTGTTGTCCTAGTTGAGGATGAAGCAGGAGGATCGCTTGCGCTTCTGAAGTCGAGGCTGCAGTGAGCCAAGATTGTGCCACTGCATTCCAGCCTGGGTAACAAAGCAAGACCCTGTCTCAAAAAAATAAAAATTTTAAAAATATTTAAAAAGAAGATATTGAGGCCGGGCACGGTGGCTCAAGCCTGTAATCCCAGCACTTTGGGAGGCCGAGGCGGGCAGATCACCTGAGGTCAGGAGTTCGAGACCAACCTGGCCAACATGGCGAAACCCTATCTCTACTAAAAAATACAAAAATTAGACAGGGGTGGTGGTGCACACCTGTAATCCCAGCTACTCAGGAGGCTGAGGTGGGAGAATTTCTTGAACCCAGGAGGCGGAGGTTGCAGTGAGCTGAGATCACGCCACCACTGCACGCCAGCCTGGGTGACACAGCGAGACTCCATCACACAAAAAAAAGATATTGACACACTCATAACGTCCCCAAAGATATCTGGTGTGCCCCGCCCTGCAGATGTGCGTTTGCTAATACTTACGTTCACAGCATGTGATACAGCAATCGTGTGGATGGAAACTGTGACAGCTTCTGCCCTGTGCAGAAGGCAACCTGTGTCAGGCCCCTCTGATCCCACATGTGCCCATCAGTAATGACCCATTCAGTGCAGATTAGACATAAAACCAGCTTTGACTTCAAAGGACCAAACAGCTAAGAGTAAGAGAAAGAAGGAGGATTTTCAGCTGCCTGGGAGTGGGGAAAGATATTCAAAGGGCTGGAACCTCTCTTTCTTTGGCAAAAAAGGCGGCCAGAAAAACCTTCCAAAGAAAAAAAAACCTCTGGGGAATCGTTATATTAAGATGGATGGATTATGGGTGATTTATTTTCTTTTAAAAGAAAACTGCTTTAATGATATTATATTGCTATTACAATGTTTTACTAGTAAGAAAGATTCTAAGAAGCCACTGAGGGTTATGGATGAAAAAGAATGGTTTTATAAAACTCAGCAATTCTTAAGAAGAGTACAGCCAAAAAGGCTTTCTCACTCCTTTATAGTTTCTTCCAATAACTGGCTCACTAAGTCGGAGGCTGAGCAGGCAGACAGCTGCAGACCTAAGGGAAGCTGTGACCATCTAATCTGCAAGAATGAGAGTGACTTAGAGCACATAGGAAAAAGCAGGTAAGAAAAGGTATAAAAGGTTTCTC